TGCAGACAAGTTACAGACACGGTCAGAGCTATAAGCCTGGGGGGCTTGCCCAGTTTTAGCACAGAAAGCCCCATATCCTGGGAGCTTTTCTGGGCATGGGTGGATGAGCAGAGACTCAAAATTCAGTGGCTTAGGAGAAACAGTTTAGCATTCTCACAAATAAGAGTCTTGGGCATGAACATAGGTAGGGCTGTTATTTTGGTTCCCAGTTACTTGGTTCCACCTTTCCTGGTTTATACTTCTCTCTGCCTGGTCCCGGATGTTAATCATTACCAGGCTCTCTTTCCAGCCTGCAGCTAGAGTAAAGGGGAAAGGAGAGGGAGGGGGCATGAATTAGACACTGCACTTCTTATGTTTCATTCTTATGAATTATAATTGGCTGCTGTAGAAGCTCAGAACTCATCTCTCATTATTTTGGCTGTGAGGCAAAGTAAAATAGAGGACTCGATTCCTGTAAGGAGGAGCTAAGAGGCAAGCCTCAGCCTTTCTTTCTTACATGTGTCTCTGTGGCATCCATCCTGGTTTCTTTTTGTACTGCCATTCTAGTTGTCATTGAATAATTGCCATTGGTAATTCTCTCATCCACTTTTAAGACTGCTGTGAATGTGAGAGTTAAGCTCACAAGATGTAAAACAGGAAACAAACCCCCCAGACTTAAGGAAAAGCTATTGCGAGGTGTACACTCCTATTTGCTTGCTTTTTCTCTTCTGTAACCCAGACCCTGTTTTCCAACAAACCATTCTCTCTATTCAAAGTATGTGACTCACTTCAGTGCCTCAGGTTAAAGCTTTTGGCTTAGCATTTTATTTCAAAATAATGCAGTTGAGATTAGAAGGTTTAATGGACTCACCTACAGCTATAATCTCAGCTATTTAGGAAGCAAAGATCTGAAAGATGGAAGTTTAAAGCCAGTCTGGGCCAACCAAAACTTAGCAAGACAGGCCCCACCTGCCCTCCATCTCAACAAATAAGTCTGGTGTGGTGGAACATACCTGTAATCACAGGTGTGAGGGAGCCATAGATAGGAGGGCTGCAATCCTAGGTGGGCTCCATTAAGGGGGGTGGGGGGAGCTGGAAAGAGAGCCTGAATCTATTTGAAAAGTATCTAAAGCAGAAAAGAAAAGATCTGGGAGTGTGGCCTAAGTGGGGGATGCCTTTCTAGCAAGTATGTGGCTCTGATGGCAAACGTTAACAGGAAAAATAAAAGGATAAAGGGAGAAAAAGATGTCTTAAAGTTAAAGGAAAAAAATGTGGGTTTCATCACAGAGGTGCATGTGGCCTATTTACCTGTCATCGTTCAAAATCAGGATCATACCTATTTGTCACAATTATACCTATTAGAATAGTTGAAATTATAATAAAATATTTAATACATTTTACTAATGACCCTACACTTAAGGAGCTTAAATTTAAAAATGAGAAAAGAGAAAAGTGGATTATTAGAAAACATTTACATTTATTTAAACATACTAGTAATGATGCAAAATTGGTATTTAGTTTTTTCCTTATGCCAGGTGGCCTTTCCCAAGACTTACTTGTGGAGAGTACTTTGAAGAGAGATGAAATGTCTCTAACAACACGTGTTTTAATACCATTTGTTTTTGACCTCCGTTGACAATTAAAATCAGTAAATTGGCTATCTTACTGCTGTCTAGATAATACTACATGCCAGAGAAACACAAATACATTGGAAATCTTGCTGTTTAACTACTCAGATTCTGTAATATGCTTTAAACTTAACCCTTAATTTGAAAAAAATCACCCAATTCCATTTATTTGAAGTTTATTTATTTATCTTAGGTCTTACCAGGCTCCTGTATGAGCTTAGCTTGCTTACTTGGCTCATGCTCTATCAATTGAATTATGCCTCCAGCCAATGTTGTATTACAGACATGAGATATCAGTGCCTAAACTCTTTTTTATTACATTTTTTCAGTGTTCCTTTTAATATAAATAATGCTTAGGTAACTATAACATTCTCAAATTTAAGATAATTATTTGATATAATTATATAAATGTAGAAGGTATAGCTAACCTATATGTGTAAATATTACGGTCCTCACTGTTTTACCATTTTATTGCTTTATTTGTTTTTGCCATTTTATTTCTTCATATAGATTCAAGAAATCATTTTTATTACATATGGAGGAATCTAATACTCAGATTAGGATATTTGTAAGTCTATATTGTATTTTGATAATTTATTTTCCTTATGTTACCTGAAGTTTGCTGTTAGTCATATTTTCTTTTGTTTTTCCCAGCACTATTATAGTTTTCATATAAGTTTGAAATAATGAATGTAATGCTTACATGGTGTTTGTTTTGAACAAAAAGGTGAACTTGAAATGCAAAACATAGCTAAACAGTTGTTAAAATTCAGTAGCAAGTTTTACTAAATGTGAATGAACAGTTCCTTAAAATGATAAAACAAGTTTTCTACCTAATTGCATAGATCCTAATTATAGTTCCATGAAAATAAAAGAGTAAGACATTTATTTTATGAAATGGATATAGAATGGATATATTATTTTGGTAATACTTCCTAAATTGTTGTGTGGATCATACACACAGTAGCTAATGGTTTATTGAATTTATTTTTTGTTGTGTTTTTTTCTTGTTAAGGACATCCTTCTTGGATATGCAAGGGGGGAACAGCAGAGAATAGTAGCTGTTGGAATGCCTGTTTTTGCGTAAATGCTATCCCTTGATTATAGAACATGTCCCTAGAAAACCCCTAATTTTCTCTTACTCAGAACTGGATGAAGGCAATGTCAGAGAGACAAATTGATGATCCAGTAGTGTAGAATAAAAGCCTATTCTTTTCCCCAAGCTTGCCTACCTAACACTATTCCTTTATTGACCTTGTAATTATAAATTTTGTTACAGAAATAACGTCTAGATTTATTTAAAGTCTTTTTAATAATTAAGAAAATGTTAATATATATTTGTATTGTGATTGCTTTTTATTCTTCTGGGGTGGGAGAAGAAAAATGCATATAGAAATAGAGTTTCATAGCTCATTCTTGATACTGGCATGATGATACACTTGCTATTGATTTGTTTGTTTGTTTTGGTTCAGGTCCTGGGGCTTGAACTCAGCGCTGAGCACTATCTTCAAGCATTTTTTGCACTCTACCACTTGAGCCAGAGCTCTACTTCTAGCTTTTTGGTGTTTAATTGGAGATAAGAGTCTCATAATCTTTCCTGTCTAGGCTGGCTCTGAACTGTGATTTTCAGATTTCAGCCTCCTGAGTAGCTAGGATTAGAGGCATGAGTCACTGGCACCAGCTCTCAATTTCTTTTTTTAATGTCGTGCTATAGTTGTAATTTGAGAAGTTATAGTTGCAAGATTTTCTTTAGATGGTAGAAATTTGCACAGATTACAGCTAATAAATGGTAATGAGTAACCTTGATGTCCATTTGGGGATATATTTATAAATCTATTTTGAGTTGTTTTTTGACAAGAAAATACTCATTTTGTGTACGTACTTATTTAGAACTTTTCTCTTTCTTTCTTAATTTTTTTTGGGGGGAGGTTGGTCATGGGGTTTGAACTCTGGGCCTGGGTGCTATCCCTGCATTCTTCAGCTCAAGGCTGGCACTCTACTACTTGAGTCATAGAGCCACTTCCAGTTTTGGGTGGTTAATTAGAGATAAGAGTCTCACGGAACTTTCTTTTCCAGGCTGGCTTTGAATTGAGACAGATCTCAGCCTCTTGTGTAGCTAGGATTACAGACATGAGCCACTGATGCCTGGCTAGAACTTTTCTTTATGTACAAATTACAATGCACAGATTAAGACAATTTGCACCTTGAGTGTCCCTTACAAGCGGAGTGCTTATTTCTTAGTGGCAAGGGAGGATGACTACATGTAATCTATGTCTATGAAAGGGATGGGGAAATATTAGCCTTCAAGTGTAGAGAAGCCCTCTGATTTGTCAGTGTCACCCAAGTTAAAGGTGGAGTGCAGGAAGTATGTTCTGGGACATGGTAATTTATCAGTTCCTTTTTCAATATAGTCCCTCTTGAAATTTTCTTTTTTCTTTTCTTTTTTTTCTTTTCCTCTCTTTTTTTTTTGGGGGGGGGGTTGGTTGTGGGGCCTGAATTCTGGGCTTGGGTGCTGTCCTTCAGCTCTTCAGCTCAAGACTAGTGCTCTACCACTAGAGCCACAGCACTGCTTCCAGCTTTTTCTGTTTATGTGGTGCTGAGAAATCGAACCCAGAGTCTCATACATGCAAGGCAAGCACTCTACCACTGAGCCACCTTGCCAGCCCCTGAAATTTTCTTTTAAAGAGTGTTTTTTGTGGTAATGTATGGAAATCATCAGCAAAATGATACAAATATGTAAATTCAGACTCACAGGATACTTAAGGGTATTTAGTAAAGAGGACATATATATGCATGTATGTGTATGTACTGTAGATCATTATTCCTGTGTTAAATTATTTTCTATAGAATGATGGAACTACTGCCAAATAATTGCTTATATTTCTAGAATGTACTGTCCTTGGCAAGCTTTGGTTATAATTGGGAATGTTACAGCTGAAGTAAAATGACTTAAGTAAGAGACATATGTGCTGATACGCTGAAAATCCAAAAAGCACAGCTCTGTTTGTTGGAATTATTACTGATGCTCACTTAGGACAAAAGTAAATATTTCATGTTATTTCCTAGCTATTGTTGGAAGTAGTAATACTACTTGTCATTAAACCTTACATACAACCCTCATTTCACATTGGAAAAAATGAATGGTTCATTGAGACAATTATATGCTGTCATTCTGATCCATTTTTCATAGGTATCCTTGTATATCAATTTTGCTTCCAATTCTGTACTTGAGCAATTTGTCTTTCAAAAATGAAAGGTTTATTAGAACAAATGGAAGGGTAATTTTAAGCTGATTCGGTTCAGCTGATATATTGAACAAATACAAACTTTGGGATTGGTTTGAATGGTTGACTGTGTATGCTGTTTTAAGTTGTCTTCTGCTTGTCATTGCAGCTATGAAGTCTTACACTCCGTATTTCATACTCCTTTGGAGTGCTGTTGGGATGGCAAGGGCTGCCAAAATCATCATCGTGCCGCCAATTATGTTTGAAAGCCATATGTACATTTTCAAGACGCTAGCCTCAGCCTTGCACGAGAGAGGCCATCACACAGTGTTCCTCCTCTCAGAAGGCAGAGACATAGCTCCATCTCATCATTACAGCCTCCAGCGCTACCCAGGGATCTTCAACAGTACCACCTCGGATGCGTTCCTGCAGTCCAAAATGCGGAATATTTTCTCTGGGAGATTGACAGCAATTGAGCTATTTGACATATTAGATCATTATACTAAGAACTGTGATATGATGGTTGGCAACCAAGACCTAATCCAGGGTCTGAAAAAAGAGAAGTTTGACCTGCTGCTGGTGGACCCAAACGATATGTGTGGATTTGTGATAGCTCATCTTTTAGGGGTTCAGTATGCTGTATTTTCCACTGGCCTTTGGTATCCTGCCGAAGTGGGTGCTCCTGCTCCGTTAGCCTATGTTCCTGAGTTTAACTCACTCCTCACGGACCGCATGAATTTGCTACAAAGGATGAAAAATACCGGTGTTTACCTCATTTCCAGAATAGGGGTCAGCTTTCTGGTTCTTCCCAAATATGAAAGGATAATGCAGAAGTACAACTTGCTGCCAGAGAAGTCCATGTATGATTTGGTTCATGGGTCCAGTCTGTGGATGCTGTGTACGGACGTGGCCCTGGAGTTTCCCAGACCTACCCTGCCGAATGTTGTATATGTGGGAGGAATTCTAACCAAGCCTGCCAGCCCATTACCAGAAGTAAGGTTTGCCAAACTCCTTGATAATTTGTTTTTAAATATAAAGGTCAATGTTAATTTCTGGAAGATATGGGATTAATTAGGGTTTCATAACTAAGGCTGCTGTCGTAAGTAGTCAGGATGCAGGGAGTCTGGAAGCCTTGTAAGCTTCCAGAAGGGTTCACCCCTTTCCTAGAGTCCAGGTCGCTTGGAGCATTTCTATAATACCGAGATTTTGCTGCGCAATAGGACTGACTGGTAAATAGATTTTTTAGTTAAGTAGTAACTATGGTATGTGAGTAGAATATATCTACTGGTTAATCTTACTGAGTATAATTGATTTTGCTTTTCATTAAACACAAAGTCTTTTCTCCCAAACAGTATAATCACAAATGACTGTTTAGTACACCAAATGCAATGAATAAAATTTCCTTTCTGGGAAGTCATAACTGCTAGAAAGTCTATGTCCTAAAGTAGAAACAAAACAGTAAGTCCATCAAACTAATGTTGTAACTGTTTTAAGGAAATCATGCCCTAGTGAAATTTCATTTCAAAGACAGAATTAATAGCACTTCAACAAGATCTCTCTGATTGTTGTTCAGCCTGAATAATTTGAACTTGTTTTTTTTTGCTGGTCAAGCTATTGGCAAGTTGTTTGGTGTTCTGATGTTCAGATCTGCAACTTTTGTTTTGTTGTTCTTGTTGCTGAAATCAGGATTTTATAATTACTAGACAGGTGCAATACCTTTGAGCTATGCCTCCAGGCCTGGTTTTCACTGGTTACTTTTAGGGTACGTTCTACTTCCTATCCAGGAGAATGGCTGGACTAGGCATGGCATATTTGCTGAGGTCACAGATATGCATTGCTGTATTCAGTGAAGATGGAGTCTTGGGGATTTCTTGCAATACTCCCAAGTAGCTAGAATTAGAGGCTTCAGCCAGGACACACCTGCTTGCTACTTTGTTTTTAATCAAGTATTAAAACTAACTGAAGCCGTGTGGCAGTGGCTCAGGCCTGTTATCCTCACTACTCAGGAAGCTGAGATTTAAGGATTGCAGTTCAAAGCCAGCCTGGGCAGGAAAGTTCGTGAGATTCATTTCCAATTAACCATCAGAAAACCAGAAGGGGTGCTGTGGCTCAAATCATAGAGTGCTTGTCTTGAGCTGAAGAGCTCAGGGACAGCGCCCCGGCCTAGAATTCAAGCCCCACAACCAACCAAAAAAGAAAAAAAAAGACTAACAGAAATGGTGCATATATTTATATATTGTAGTGATTTTTCTAATTTCAGACTGACTTTCATTTAATTCCATTAACCAAGAAACTTAGGTCTTATTCCATAATTTCATTTATGGAAGGTATTTCTATTTTGTTTCTAGCTCTGAAAATAGCTATACCCAACAACTCTGCTAAATTGTTTTCCTCTTTGAGCACTAAGTATAAACAAGTCTGTCAAAGTCTTGATGAGCATATACATATTTTCACCTATAGATATCAGATAAGAATAATGTTTTTTGCAGCTTGTTTTACATAGGATCATAAGGTGATTGGTATATTTGACCTTTGGACTTTCTATTACAATTATAACAGACTTATGACTAAATATCATGTGCTGAGTATATAGCTCCGTAAAAGAGTACCTGTCTAGCATGCAGAAGGCTGTGGATTTCCTCAGCACCATACAACCAACACAATCATATTTGCTCATTTTCTCATTCATTCATTTTCTCTCTCATACACACAGAATTTCTTTTACATGTTTCTTATAACACTGAAACATAGAAATGTCCATCTCCATATCCACAGTGCTAGCATTTTAAATCACTGGTTACCAGGGCACATTTGTGTTCTCTGACAGCTATAAAGAATGGGGTTTAACCTCTGCTTATCTCAATCACTCATGATTGTATCAAAGTCTAGTTTGAATTCCTCAATAGTCTCCACCACAGTTACCTTGTGAAATAATGCTCTCTTGCATAAAGATAGATAAAATCAGATTTTAGAAGCAGTTCTGAAAAGATTTAGTAAGCAAATCTGTCTTTTCCTTAACTAAGTCATTTAAATGTCAGAAATATCAACCCTTCTTCGTAACTCTTTATCTTTCCCGAGAGATAGTTCTCTGAGCCAGCTTACTTTGCTTTTGGTTGTGCAATGTCTTTCTTTTTCAATCACCTGACTGAAGAAGAAATCTGCATGTAGAAGAATCTTCTGATTGCCCTGTTCCCCCTCCAATTTCTCTTATTTCATTAATTTTGTTAGTGTTGCTTTTGCTTTGGTTTTTATTTTTGTGCCAGGACTGGGGCTTGAATTCAGGCTCTCATTCCCTTGCTTGGCTTTTCCATTCAAGGCTCATTCTCTACCACTTGAGCCATAACTCCAGTTCCAACTTGTTTATTGAATGGTAGCTGCTTGAACTATATATAGTGTAAGTGTGGACTGATACCTCAGGCTCTGTTATACTTTATAGTTTCACAACATTATTTCACTTCAGATATAGCTTTCCAGTACATTTTTGGTGGTTTTTTTTTTTTGAGCCTCACACAAGACAGTACTCAAATGTTTTGTTGTACCTTAATTTCTTTTTGTTTATTTTTTATTGTAATTTTAAGTAATTGAACAAAAGACTTAACATTTGACAAATTAATTTACGAATACAACATATATGTTATTTAATGTCATTGCTTTTATCATTCTCTCCCTTCCCTCCCAACTCCATCCCTCCCCTCAATTTTGTTAATTTCATAGGATATGCATTGACTGTTATGACTATATAATTTACTAGGACAGAAAGACACTTCCAGAGGTGAAAGTGGGTGGCCTCAGACTCTCTTTGTATTGACATTTTTCTCCCTCTTCTCCATCCCATGGGTTTCTCCAGGTGATCATGGGTTATCATACATGCAGAGTGATGTCTCAATCCTTTGGAAAGTCCATGTCAATCACTCTTATGGGTTGGTCCTAGAGAAGAGTCTAATTCTCTTCTTCAGTGAAAGCTCAGTTCCATGTGAATGTAATCATCCTTAATTTCTTACTTGACACTTGTAGGGCTTCCCTATCCTTCTTGACTTCATATAGTGATTCCCTTGAAAGTACACTTGTTATTGGTACTGTTTTGTGTCTTCTTATTTGGGTCTCACAGGCACACATATATGGCATGAGCATGTGTTATATGTGATACATAGAGATAGCTATGATCAGTATAGGAAGTTTTGGGTTCTAAGTATCATGGACTGTTTTCTTGTCAGAGGACAATCTGTAGTTCTTGGATAGGGAGTATTTTGAAGGATGTTATGTCTCTTTCTTTCGCTCAGGCATTCTTTACTTTTTTGAGGTTTACTCTAGCAGTTTTATCTGAGATAATAAACTCTAGGGTTTTTAATGAAAAAGTTTCTCAAATTTATTTTTAGTGGTCACAAACACTAAATCAAGAGGGCGTAGCTAGATGTTTCTGAGAACACACGGATGACTAATAATAGCCTAATTGTTCCGTGCTTTGGTGTTTTACACAGGGAGTAGATTAAGTTTTCTAGATGTCTAGAGATGATTTGATAGTAGGATTTGAATTTCACAATCTGGGAAGAAAGGCACAAAATTTTCTAAAAGGCCTTTTTTTAGGACCTCTCATAATGTTTGAGCCTAAAGAAATTCTAGAATAGCTAAGGTCTGCTGCATTCATTTTAATTTTTTTTCTTTTCTGAAAATATATAGAATAGACAAAAGAGTAGTACATTTGCTTATTACATGAGGGACTTACACAATGCCTGATAGATTTTTTTTGGGGGGGGGTCCGGTCATGGGGCCTGAACACTGGGCCTGGGTGCTACCCCTCAGCTCTTCAGCTCAAGGCTAGCACTCTACCACTTGAGCCACAGCGCCATTTTCGGCTTTTTTCTTTTTGCTTATTTGGTGCTGAGGAATCGAATCCAGGGCCTCATGCATACAAGGCAAGCGCTCTACTGCTTAGCCACCTTCCCAGCCCCTGATAGATATTTTGTGGCAAGCCGAAGGAAGTATGGATTCTTTTGCTACTGATTAGCTTATCAAGATACCTGCACATTTTGTCACTCATATTAATTATTTACCCACATATAATCACGTATAAGACTATGCAGAAACAGTAGTTTCTCTAATCTTATATAACTGATATCAAAGTTTGTGCATAGTATGAGTGTCCAAAGAAAGAAACTATTTGTACTTTTGCTCTTATGTGAGTTGATAGAAATCAATCCAGTTCAAATCTCTTATTTAAATTTTAATCATTTAAAAATTATCTTTAAGTAGTTGTACAAAGGGATTTCAATTCAAGATGCCAATTAATGAGTATAATGCATTTTTGCCATTGCTCTTTTGCATACATTCTAAGAAGGATGAAACCAAGGAATGAAAACTACAGCTTTTGACAAACATGAAACCAAGGAATGAAACTACAGCTTTTGACAAACAGTATTGAATATTGATTCAAGAAGTGGAATTACTTACTTTTACATACACTGATTGGAAATTGATCTCACCATTAGTGAATGAAGTATCTGAGACATGAGAGTTGTTTGGACAAAAGGCTTGTTCCAGGGTATGGAAAATAGAGGCTATTTTAATTATACCTTATAGTTCTAAGTTATGCTATTTCATGAGATTTAAAGTTGATAATGGGATTCTAATGAAACCAATAAAGCATATAAATTAAAACTAATGTGTGTGTGTGTGTGTGTGTGTGTGTGCATGTGTGTGCATGCACTATGCCTTGGGACCTTGGGATACTGAGTCTTGAACTCAGGTCCTTCATGATGTCTCTTAGGTTCTTTTACTCAAGGCTGATATTCTGTATCTTGAGCCTGAGCTCTACTTCTGTCTGTATGCAGGTTAACTGGAGATAAGAGTCTCACAGGCTTTCCTACCTAGGCTGGCATTGAATTTTGCCTCCTGATCAGCTAGGATGATAGGCATGAACTGGCACTAGGCTAAATGAGGAGCTTTTCAAGAGAAAAACGCTGTCCAGATGGAAGGGCACAAAATGCTATACTGTA